GGCTCAGGGTCAGTGGTCACAGGCAGACCGGAGGCACAGCATAAATTGGTTGGAGCTCAGAGTGATCCACCTAGCTCTCAGACATTTCCACTCAGTAGTCAGGGGGCAACATGTGCTGGTTCTGACACACAACGTAGCGGCAAAAGCCCACGTCAATCAGCAGGGGGGTACCCGGTCAAAGTCCCTCATGGCAGAGGCTCGAGCATTGAGCTCTTGGGCAGAGAAACACCTGCTCTCCATCAGGGCAGAGCATATTTCGGGGGACGCAAATTGGCAGGCAGACTTCCTCGGCAGGTCAATAGTGGACCATTTGGAGTGGAAATTACATCTGGATGTCTTCAGGGAGATCACGGACAGATTTGGTCATCCGATAGTGGACCTGTTCGCCTCGTTGGAGAACACCCAGCTGCCCAGGTTTTTCTCCCGGTTCCCCTCGCGGGGAGCGGATGCCCTACGCCAGTGGTTCTCAACCTGTGGGTCGGGACCCCATTTGGGGTCGAATGACCATTTCACGGGGGTCGCCAAACCACGCTGTCCGCCATTTTTTTCCCTTTTCCCTATCTGTCCTACTCCCTCTTATTGGTGGCCACACCCACTTGGGGGTCACCACAACATGGGGAACTGTATTATGGGATCACGGCATTAGAAAGGTTGAGAACCACTGCCCTACGCAGCCAATGGCCACAAGCCCTCTTGTATGCTTTTCCCCCACTGCCAGCAGTTATCAGGAAGATCCTGGCGGAGCAGGCGGAGGTAATATTTATTGCTCCTCACTGGCCCAGAAGGCCATGGTTTGCAGACCTGGTGAGCCTCTCCGTCTCTGCTCCGTGGAGGATTCTAGACAACCGCATTCGGTTGACGCAGGGAGATCTTCAGCATCCAGATCCCCAATGGCTTCAGTTGACCACTTGGCACTTGAACGCCGCACCTTGACTCGGGAGTCCTATTCGTCAAGAGCTAATTGATATGATTCAGGCTACCAGGAGACCAGCAACTAACCGTATTTACAACCATACGTGGAAGAACTTCTGTCGTTGGTGCGACAGGAATCATGTGAGTCTGTCACAGGTAACCATTCCCAAGGTGTTAGAATACTTACTGGAGGGCATCAACAAGGGGTTGTCGCCCAACACTATCCGTAAACAGCTAGCGGCTCTTTCCACGGTGCTTTCTTGGGACTCTTCAGAGTCCTTGTCTAGACACCCTACCATCAGATCTTTCCTAAAGGGAGTTACTAATAGTAAACCACCTGTGATTCATAGGTGGGATCTACCCAGGGTTTTATAAGCACTAACCTCTTCTCCCTTTGAACCACTTAGAACATGTTTCTTGAGGTACCTGTCGCTTAAGGTCTCATTCCTGATAACTATTACTTCTGCCAGATGTATATCGGAATTGGCTGCCTTATTGATCAGGAAGGACCTGTGCTTGTTTCACGAAGACAGGGTAGTTCTTAGATTAGATCCCTTGTTTATTCCAAAAATAAACACTGTGTTCCATAGGATACAAGAGGTTATTTTCCCGGACTTCTATCCTCACCCGTTGCATGATTTGGAACGGCAGTGGCACTCACTAGACGTGAGGAGAGCCTTGCGCTGTTATATCAAATGCATGGCCTCTTTCCATAAATCAGAAGTCCTGTTTATATCCTTTCAGCCTTCATCAATGGGCCAAAAGGTGTCAGCTTCCACTATAGATAGGTGGATCAGGGCTTGTATTGCAGCTGCCTACGCGTCTCTTGCCCTACCCGTTCCTAGTCATGTGACGGCTGACTCCACCTTCAGCGCTGCCACAACTGCTGCGTGGGCAATTCAAGCGTCTATTGAGGACATTTGCAGGGCAGCGACATGGTCCTCGCCTTCCCCATTTATTAGGCATTATCGCCTGGACAAGTTTGCATCGGCTGAGGCCGCCTTCGGTAGACGTATTTTATAGCAGGTAATGACACCATCAGGTTCACAGGCCCCAACTGATTCCCACCCATAGGGACTCCAGGAGCTTTGGTAGGTCCCATTGGTGGATTCTTCAGTCATCATGCTGGAGAAAGAGTGTTGGCTTACCTGAACACATGTTCTCAGCATGATGATGAAGAATTCATGCCCTCCCTTCCAGTGGTTAGTTAGATAAGGGTTGGGGGCCTGTTCCTTTCTTGTGTTTTTATGAATATCTGCTTGAGAGTCATCACGTCGAACTGTTGTCATTGGCTACGCCGTCGATGAAACTGGGAGGAGCTAGATAATGAGGCGTGACAACTTGACAACTTAGTCTGATTGGGCAGGAGGACTGAAATAACCCATTGGTGGATTCTTCATTATCATGCTGAGAACATACATTCAGGTAAGCCAACGCTCTTTTCCAGAAAACATTGCAGGCTACAGGAACAGGGCAGAAAACATCATGCAGCCAAAAGACTTTACACACCTTTGCACAGGTGATCCTTGAGGACACAGAAAACCTCCAAATGACCCCAACAACTCTAAAAGAATGCAAATGACCATCTGTCTGCAAGGAATATAAATCCTTTCATTCCCCACCATCCGGTCAGAGCTGGAGAAACTTCTTGGATGAGAAGCGAAAACGTCTTCAAAGAAAAACAAAATCCAGTTGCCTCCTGAAAAAGCAGGACCTCCTTCGTTGATCCCTCTGCTTGTCTCACAGAAGCCTCTCCTCTTCTCCCTTTCTCTTTCTCTGTCCCCTTCTCTTTCCCCATAGTCTTTTTTTTCTCTTTTGGATGCACCACTCTCTGGGGCTCAGGGAGAGCTCCAGCATCAGTCACTACCTTAGTCTCACTCCCCCTGCAGTCACCCACTCCCCAGCTGGCCATTGCACACAGTGCTGATCAGCTGGAGCTACACGTGCCAATCCTGGGACCTGCTGAGCCCCTGCAGCTCCAGTTGACTTTCTCACCCAAGGCATGTCTGCTGCTCCCAGTGATAGCAGAGGCTGCTGGAAGCGCCAGTCAGCTAGGGCTGTGCGCGCTGATCAAGGGCCCTCAGCAGAGCCCCAGCAACATCGCAGCTCCAGCTAACTTTATACTCAAAGACTGCCCACCTCTGAGGCCGTCAGAAGTGCTGATTAGCTGGAGCTGCGCACGCCAATCCAGGGTCCTCAGCAGAGCCCCAGCAACACTGCAGCTCCAGCTGACTTTCCCCCAGGCCTCTCTGTTGCTGCTGCCACTTCAGCTCATTGACACTGCTGCTACTTCAACTCATCTCCCTTGCTACGTTTGTCTAGGTCGTGTACCACCTGCCAGATGCTGAAGTACCACTGGTTGAAAAGCCCTGATCTAGGGATTAGCTTGATCCTGTGAACTCTGAGGGAGTTAATAAGAATCTCAGCAATGTGCACTTGGCCAAGTGCACATTGCTGAGATTCTTATTAACTCCCTCAGAGTTAGATTGATCATGCCCAATCCAGATCCTCCAAGTTCTAGAATGGTTGTATTCAAGATGTGATTGTTCTCCTGAATAACTTCTGTCTGTTTCTAGGCTCATACTTTTAGGGAAAGTGATTAGATTTTAGTTTCATAGAACTTAGAATCATAGGGCTGGAAGGGACTTGGAAGTTTTCTAGTCTCAAGGCAGGAATCCTTATCCCAGTTAAGCATCTAGTGATGGAGCACCCACAGCTCTGGGAAGCAAGCTATTCCATTGATTAATTGCTCTCATTCAGAAAATTTCTCCTTATTTCTAGGTTGTATCTCTTTTTAACAGGTTTTCACCTGTTATTTCTTGTCCTCCCCTCAGGTTCTTTGGAAAGTAAGTCAACCCCCTCTTCTCTGTGACAGCCCCTCAAGAATTGGAACACAGCATGTTCCTCTATTTCCTTCTCTTTGATAGGCTAGATCAGGGGTAATCAACCTTGGCTCTTTTATGACTCGTGGACTTCAACTCCCAGAATTCCTGAGCCAGCTGACCACAGCTGGCTCAGGAATTCTGGGAGTTGAAGTCCACGAGTCATAAAAGAGCCAAGGTTGACTACCCCTGGGCTAGATATACCTAGTTCCCTCAACTATTCATTATATGATTTAGCCTCCAGACCTTTTATCATTTTTGCACACTTTCTAGGGCTTAGAATCTTTTTTGTATCATGGTGACCAGAACTGGACACAATATTTCCAGTACGGTCTTACCAGTACGATCTAAAGCAATACCATGATATCTTGTAATCTTGATACTATCACTCCCTCTGTTGATGCAGCCTAGAACTACTTTGGCTTTTTTGGCAGCCACAGCACACTGCTGGCTTCTACTTAAGTAGTTGTCCACTAGGACATCTAGATCCGTCTCATAGTCACTGCTGTTGAGCCAGGTACCATCTTTCTATTTGTTTGTGCATTTGTTTTTTCTTGCCTGTGTACAATCTTACTTTTTTCACCACTTTATGGCATTCATTTTGTTGGATAGGGTACATATCCAAATTTGTCAAGATCATTCTGTATCTTGAGTCTATCTATTAAAATGTTGGCTATTCTCCCCAGCTTGATATTGTCTGCAAATTTGATGATTCCCCTTCTACTCCCTTATCTAAATAATTTATGAATGAATTGATTTCTACTACTGTTTTTAGGCTGTGATAAGTGAGAATAGTTTTGATTTTTATTCTGTTCTGAAATTTTCTTTGGACTCTGATAATAAAAGCCATATGCATATAATAGTAAATAAACTGTATATAGAAATACATTCTATTCTCTCTCATGTAAAGTATAAAAGTAAACAGTGGCAATTATATTTTACCTTGTATGATTTGCTGCTTTATTTATTTTAGTTAGTGTTTCTTTTGTATAATGCTGTTATGACTTATTATACTGATTTGCTGTTTGATTAACAATTATTTTGTCTTGCTTAGTTTTTAAATTAAATCTTTAATGGATTATTTTATATTGTGCTATAAAAAGGTTTGATTGGTTTTTGTTAATAATACATTTTGTTATAATGTAGCTAAGATATCTATAAAATGGTAAATAAAATTAACTAACATTTTTATTTTATTTTTAATAGAAGTTGCAGAACTTGAAGTAAATTTACCTTGTAAGTATGGTTTTTAGCATATTTTTAAGGAGTATTCAGATCCTAATTTTTCATCCTTATGTCACACATTTAAGATAATTGAGGGATATTTACATAAGTCCTTCTGGAATTGTCATTTTTTTGTAAATGGTAATTAAGGGAGGTTACCAGGTAGATATTACAATTCAGGACTTTTGGGGGGAAATTGTTTTGCTTCCACTGAGGAGCGACGTTGATGGCGGCTACTTTGTAGCCGTCCTCCTGGGACGGCGTCAGATCTGCGGAGCACAGCGAACATCAGCTGGCCCGTGGCTCGGAATCCCCTTCCCGGGCGAAGGGAAGGGGTAGAGATTGCAAGAATAGAGGTAGAACCTCTTAGCCCCCTCTGGATTTTTCTTTTGAGGGGGCAGAAGGAGCGTTCCCTCGGAGTTCCTGCTTTCTCCGCCTCCCAGCTGTTTTTGTCTCTTCGGAGACAAAAGGAAACGCCGCTACCCTCTCCGCGTTTAAAGTGTTCTGGTGAGTAATATTTAAAGCGGACAGAGCAGTTTAAAGGATTTTTTTTTTTAGTTTAGTATTTTATTTTAATTTTTTTCTAGTTGACTTTGATTCTTTTCCCTTGTTTCTTTTTTGTCGATACAGGTAGTAATCTTATGACCACAATTAGAACCAGAATTTCTATTACTAAGCAAGGCAGTTGTTAAGTGACTTGTGCCTGATTTTACAACCTTCATGATTTTTTAAGCAAATTGCTACAATTGTTAAGTGAATAACACAGCCAGCTTCTCCCTATTGACTTTGCTCTGGAGGTGGCTGGCAAGGTCAGAAATGGCAATCTCATAACCCAAGGATTCTGCAGTTGTCATGCCGGTTGCCAAATGCCCAAATTTTGATCATATGGCCATGGGGATGCCATGATGGTCGTAAGTCACTTTTTTCAATGCTGTTGTAACTTTGCACTATTGCTAAATGAATTTTTGTAAGTCAAGATCCATCTGTATTGCTATATTTGGGACCAAAATTCTGCTAATAACTTTATAAAAGCATAAAGCACTTGGAGGATTGTTTTCTGAATTCCTTAATATACTCAATTGGATGCAGTGTACAGAAACCTCAGTAATGATCTCTTTCTGGTTGAGCATTCTATCTTGCAGGGCTTGCTACGGAAAAGTGTGATTGAGTTTGAGAATTATTGCGAGAGATGAACATTTTTTTATTTGCATAGGGCTTTAAAATGTTACATTTAATAGTCATTAGCCATATTATTGCTTACAATCTTCATGTTTTGTTTCTATATTTTCTTTTCTCATCCTGGTCATAAACATTACAAATTGTCAATTATTTCAGATTTTTATATTTATTTTCAGGTACATGTGAAGTGAATTTTCCTGACCCAAATAAACTCCATTTCTTTCTCTTAATCATAAACCCAGGTAATTTATTTATTTATTTATTTGTATATATGTATGTATGTGTGTGTGTGTGTGTGTGTATAGGTATGTGTTTGTGAGTATGTATAATTATATGTATGTATGTATGTATATACATATGTACGTGTATATATACGTATTTGTGTGTGTGTGTGTGTGTTTGTGTGTATTTGTTCTAAATACTTGAATCCCAGGTGTAAACATTTTTAAAATCAATAAAATTAGTGAACTCCGGGGTATAAAATAGTCTTTTTATTACTGAGCTTTCATCAACTTGCTGTTGACATCATCAGTAAGGGCTGAAGATTGGAAGAGCTTACATACACGCTTGTGTGACTGTTTTAACAGGTCATAGAACGTATAGTCAGCACGCCCACCACCCGCTCACCCGCATTAGTTTCACTGGTTCCGGCTTTGATGTAAAAGCTGGTCTCGGTCTGAAGTTTGAAAAATCTCTCCTCACAGCTGTTTGGCGCGTCAATCTTGTGCTGCGGGTGAGCAGGTGGCGGGCATGCCGACCATATGTTCTATGACCTGACCGTTAAAACAGTCACACAAGTGTGTATGTAAACTCTTCCAATCTTCAGCCCTTACTCTGATGATGTCAACAGCAAGTTGACGAAAGCTCAGTAATAAAAAGGCTGTTTTATATCCCGGAGTTCACTAATTTTATTGATTTTAAATATATATATATATATATATAAAGTGTTTTCTGGTGAAGCCGGTCTGTCAGAACACCCGGTTTACAAAGCAATCTACTTATTGCTTTTAGCCCCAACCTGGGAGCGTTTTTTATCATACAGGCAGACACTACTGCTACAAACTATTTTGTGTTCAATTTGGATTTTGCTGACAAAGAATTAAAGGGAGATTAGTATAGTTATTTTGAGCTATTTAGCTCTGGTCAGCTAGCCATACCCTTCTGAGATTCGAATCTGGGCTGCTTGCATATTAGGCAGTTGTATACACACACACACACAGTTAAGTTAAACACAGAATATATTTAAATACTCACCTGCTAAATTGTTTGGGCAATTTTAGGACTTCATTGTGTGTGGCAAACTCAACTTATACCATAGAACTTCCTTCATACTCTCTTTCCTGCCATGTATCAAATCTCCTTTAGAGATTAGTTTCTCCTCTGAGCAGATTTGATGGGTAAGCTGGATGGGCTGGAACAGGGAAAAAGAATCTGTTCCAATGATGATATAATTCTACATTTATAAAGATAACAGTGGTGACACTGGAGACAAGTTCTAAGATAAAAGTATAACACTGAAATAGAAAATATATTTATGAGGTAGAATATATTTACAGTACACCCCATTGAAAAATTTGATATTTTCAAAATATTTCAACATAAAGGCCTTTGATCTTTTATTCATTCAGTTTTATAAAGAAAATAAATATCATACCTTTTACATTTTACTATCTATTATGTACTTGAAATAAACATAAATGCAATTTTTCATGTGGAAAAAGCAAGTACATTTCCACATTGATTACTACCTCAAATATCAAAAATTAGAATAAGATGTACTAGATTAGAGCATTAGAGAGCTTCTGAGAAGAAACTGTTGTCATAGTTCCAATAGATGAGACCAGCTAAAACAGAACTCTGAGGCTTGAGGTTTCCTTTAAGAACATGTTTATTGGCTACAAAGTATCGACACTGTCAAAAGTAAAACCAAGACTAACGTTCCCTCCAAGTATACAAAGTTAAACCTCCCACCCATTACTATGCAATCAATTAAATTTCCCAATAGAACAGTTTGGCGGGCTTTTTAATAGAAAGCTCAGCTTCCCAGTCTAACAAACAAAAATGACCTTGGTTCCCACGGGACAGAGAATTGTTTAAGCTAGCAGAAAAATTCCACCCCCCTTCCCATTCTGGTGACAACTGAAAATGATCCAAATGGCTTCATTCAGGTTCATTGCAGAGTTGACAGTCGGACCCCCCAAAGAGGAAACAGATCCTGTAAAGAAATAAACGGAGAAGTTAGAAATCTCCCTGAGGTTTCTCAGGATGCTTATCGTAAAAAAATTTTATCAACTGATCTGCCTTGATGTTTGTACTTTTCACCCAAGTTGCCTTCCACTGTACTAAGTACTGTAATCTCCCCTTGTATAATCTATAGTCAAGGATTTGTTTAATTTCATAATAAGTCCCCCCCTCAACCAAAAGGGGACCAGGGGCTTTCTTAGGTATTGGTCTTAAGGACGACTCTGATAGATTTTAGCAAACTACAATGGAAAACAGGGTGGATTTTACCCAACAAGTGAGGAACTCCACTGTCACATAATTTATAATTCTAATTATAGGAAAAGGACCAAGAAATTTCGGTCCCAATTTCTTGCTAGGTAATTTGAGTCTTAAATATTTAGTTGAAAGATAGACTTTCTCCCTCATCTGGAACAGCCTCTGAGGGGATCGCTTTTTATCAGCTTGTTCCTTGTATGTTTTTGCGGCTTGTGTTAGAGCTTTTTTTACATTAGTCCAAACAGTCTGCCATGATGTTACCCACTAATCTAAAGTTTGTGAGGCAGGTGGTTCTTGGGGGTATTCAGGCATAGGAACAAACTCTTTGCCAGTGGCTATTTTAAATGGAGTAAGCCCAGTATTGCTGTGCATAGTATTATTGTAAGCCTCTTCAGCAAAAGGCAGGAGGTCAGCCCAGTCAGTTTGTTGGTAGTCAATGTAGGATCTGGTGTATTTTTTTAAAAAAGTTTTTATTGATTTTTTACAATAACAATCCTTAGCGCCTATTGTACAGCATGTTGTCTTAGTTCATATATTTTGAAAAAAACAGTAGTTAATTAACAGTCAATAATAATTAATTTTTGTACTTCCATAATTAGTATATTAATTAATAGTATATTTCTTTGATCTTCCCTTCTCCCAATAGTATTCTCCTTCTTCAACTTTAAACAAATATAATTCTTAATATTTTCAATGCATAAATGGTTAAATATAAATATTTTTTTCATATTTGTACAAATAATAATTTCGATGTATGACATTTTTTCTTATCAACTTGTGGTTGTTTTTATAAACATTATCATTAGTTCACTATATATCCTATTTTCATAATTCTTATTTAAGCTTAATTTCCCCTTAATATTCAAACAATTCTTATCAATCATAATTTCCTCAATATTTATCATCTAAATATCCAGATTTTCCATTTAGATACACCATCCCATGTTTTCATATTTCATGTGTTATAAAAATACTACACTGCTTATCTATCATGACATCTACCTATAACATCTTTTCTGATTAGTTTATATTTCACTTATAAAAGTTAATTTGTTAAATCACTATATATCCTATTTTCGAAGTTCTTATTTAAGCTTAATTTCCCCTCAGTATTTCAGTCATCCCTTAGTCTTAATTCTCTTCAACTTAATTTACCTTTAAATTTCAAACTTTTCATTCACATACATCAGGGGTCCCCAACCCCCCGTCCATGGACCAGCATCGGGCTGTGGCATGCCAGCAACTGGTATGCTGGCAGGACAAATAAGCAAAGCCCTATCCATGGGATGCAGGCAGCACACAAAACCACGCCCCCTCCGGTCCACAGAAAAACTGGTCCCTGGTGCCCAAAAGGTCGGGGGCCTCTGACGTACATCATCCCAATATTTTTACATTTTATATATTATAAAAATACTATATTACTTATATCTCTTATCCTCTTATTGTAAGGCCCCTTTATACCCAAAGTTATCTGTTCTTTAACCATATTCAAACAAGTGTTTGCCCATGTAATACTCCATCTGGTAGGGCGAGTCAAATCTCTTGAATCAATCTCTGGCCTTCTTCTTTTGCCAAGTAGCTTTCCAAAATGATATATTCCACTTGCCAGGAAGTTTTTGTATTTTTGTAAGTATTGTTGGGAATGGAGAAGACAATGCGTAAAATATATGCTTTTTGTCTCCCGAATTCTAATGGTTCTCCTGGCAGTTCTATAGTCCATTTTGTTAAGTATTTTTTCTTTCCTCTGGTTTATTTTGACGTTCTGATGAATAAAGTATATTTTCCATTTTTATTGTTATGTCCAAGTCTTGTAGGTTTTTTCCTGTTTGTGTTGAATTATAATTCTCTTTATTTATAGCTTTGCTGATTAAGTCATTTTCTTCTAGTTTATGTTCTGTTATCTGATTTGTTTGTTCATTGTTTACCATCATTTTCTGAGTGTTTTTTTATTGTGGGTTTAGAGATGTGCTCATTTATGTTGTCAAAGTTGTTTTTGATCTCCTTGTGATTTAAAGCTATTGTCATTTGAATCTGTCATAGCATTATATACATTTCCTCCTGGAAGGTATTTGCCTTGTCTTGAAATGTTGTTTCTGGAGGTCTTTGATATTCCAGGCTAGGTCCAGGAGTAAGTATGAAATGTGGTTTTCTGTCATTTTTTTATAAGTATGTAATATTCATGTTGTCTCCCCCTTTCAAGTAGTCCTTCATCAGTGCCATAGTCTCTATAATTAGCCTTGTCAAACCAGCCAAACTCAAAATCCAAATAGCCCAATTTTGTATAGTTCTTATCTTTATATATAGTTTTTATAATCCACTATATTTCCAATTGTCAAGGCATCAGTAAAATCAGTATTTTATAACAGTTCTTTTATTCAGTTGTCAACCAGTCAAAATTGCAGTTCAGTATATTTAGTCACCTTGAGTCCTTCCTGTAAATTCCCCCCTAAAAGATTAATCGAGTCAAAGTTTTTCTTTTTCTGTAAATAATTCTTGAGTTTAGACAACAGTCAGAGTATTTCTTTTCCTTCAGACACTTTTTAATCTTACGGCTGGCCAATATATATTCTTTCTTTGTTCCCACCCAGTTATCTTCTGAGGGTTATTAAAGTTCAAGGGAACAGATTATTCTTTGTTTCTGGGTGTCTTGCCAATTTCTGAGTCAGAGTTGTTAATGTTCTTTGCTCTAGTTCTCCACTAGGTGTCAGTAGTTGTTTATTTTCCAGCTTTTTCAGACAAAAAA